GGGATTTTTTTTAAAAAAAAATTCTTTCAAAATTTTTTTTCTTTGTATGGTTTTTTATATCTTTTAAAAGTATATTTTTTTTTCTTTATTTAAAAGATTTTCTTTTTTCTTGGATGGTATACATTCATATTGTCCTGGAATTCTGTTGAGATAATTTTCACAACAGAGTTTAAGATTTTTAGCAATTGCTTGCTTACTATCTCTTACTAAAATACTTTCTTTGTATTTATCTGCAAGAAGATTTCTAGTAAGTGTTATTACTAATCCTAAAGATCCTTCAATTTTGAAATTGAGTTTTAGATCAATATGATCTTCTTGTTTACTTATCGCATTATTAAAAAGTTTCATTACCTCATGATTGAAAGGTTCATGAAGTTTTCTAATAAACTTTTCTGTTAATTCATTCCATTTGTTTTCAGGACAAATGTAGAAATATTTTGAAAATTCACATGCATAATTTTCAAAATAACACATATCACATACGGAAATTTTTTCTAAGTGATTAAGTGCATCAGCAATTTCAATTTTTGTTCTATTACTTTTAAAAACTTCAATAAGTTTGTCCAGTAAATTGTTTATACAATTGTTCAACAATTCTTTTTATAAATTGTGGTATACTATATTGAGAATCTGCCCAAATAGTATTTTTTACATTACAGTCAATTTTTTCTAAAAATGATCTAGCGTTACCTCTGGTACTTGCTAGGACATAATTCCATGAATTGGCTTTATGTTTGATTATTTCTTTATTAATGATCATGGCTATCATTAAATGACTATACCATGCATCAATAATTTTTTCCGGTTCAAGTGTACAATCTAAATCTAGAATTGTAATTTGTTGTTGATTATTTCTTTTTGGAACAAATTTAGATTGTAACAAATTCTGAATTGTTTCTTCATTTGTTGGAATTGGTCTAGGATTATAATCTCCTTCAACCCTTTTTCCATCACCTATAGGATTAGAACTAGAAGATTCTTCAATTCTAATTCCCTGTTCTGTCTTAGGTTCCCTAATAACAATAAGTTCTCTATTAGTAAAGAATCTTTCATGAATTATGATGTCTTCATCAGATTCATAAATCTCTTCATTTTCGCTTAAGGATTCATTGGTTTTGATTCCTCAATATCAGATTTTGTTGTCATAAGATTTTCATTATTTCCAATATTAATCTTTCTAACAATATTTTCAATTTTTTGTAATTCCTCATCTTCAAATGAGAGAAGTACATTTAAGAGTCCTAGGTCATTGTTAGTTTCATAAATATTTTCAAGATTTTTTCTGAATTTTGACATATTAATTTAAAAATTTTATATCAAAATTTCCGTCAGATTTATTTGATTGAATGTCTTCCCCTTTTTCAAAAATTCCTAAAGAGATTTTAGGATTTTTCCTTTGTAAGGGTTTTTCATTCTTAACACCAACTATAGATGGAGAGAATTAAAGAGAAGAATGACGAAGAAGAAGATTCAACAGAAGGGGGAAAAGGAAATAGGAAGAAAGGAGAAAATCGCCACAAGCCACGAATAATTATTATTCACTATCAAATGAAAATTACAATGCAAAAATAGGTTTAAATAGTAAAGCAACCCTAATGAGATTGGACCCGAGCCCATACAAGTCCAATTTTCTAAATAATAGTCCAAGAAACAAAATAAAGCTTAACTAGAAAATAAAATAAGTAAATGTCCGATGTCCTCATCACTATATATATATATATATATATATGAGATATCATATATGTGGCATGATGGAAATATATTTTCCGATGTTTTTCACCTTTGATATTTTATAGGTTCTTTTGCAAAATCATGCGTAAATTCTTGACATTTTCTTTGTTTTAACCAGCAATGTCTTGAAAAAGATTGATAAGATTAAAGAATGCAGTAGACAGAGGAAGCAATTGGAGGAGCTCACTGCTCGAAGAGTCTGGTACCTTAAGCTGCTCAAAGAGTTGGCAATGCTATGGCACCATCTCGAGAACTTGAAGCTGGAAGGTAAGATGGTCTACTGCTGCGTAGGCTCCAAGCCACGGAGGTATATTGGCGAAGAAGAAAAAAATGGGTAGAGAAGATATCAACATGTTAGCCGACAAGTGGGTGGGACATATATAATGACGAAGATATTAGATTACAACAGGGGTCCCTAATGTTAAATTGACACGAGCACTGCTTATGAGTGCTGTGGTGTTTATTGTTACTTAGTCAACACGACATTGTCCACCCCCCCCCCCCCCCCA